TTGGCCATTTCATGGGAGTTATTTACATTTTGTGCACACAAGCCCTTGTTTTGCATTGGTTGATGTTTTGAGCATTGCATTAAGTATCAGTGATATGGATGTAAAAGGAGTATATTGTCTAGAAAGGAAAAAGTGATATAAACAAGTACTTAGAAAATTCTGCTTTGTGGGGCACAGAAAGGCATTCTTGGCCCTGCTTGATGGATTCTGGCAGTGTGGATGTGGCAGGAAGCGTTTCAGGAGATGCATGGCAGATTCTGTGAACAACTAGCACCTGGAATGTCGACATATTAGCCAGAATTGCAAATGCTGCCCTCTCAGAGAGCGCTCTTAAAATTGTCTGATAGCAGAAAAATTTTCTCTTAATAAGTTCATCTTAAAAATAATCTGCTTCAGCCGGGCGTGGTAGTGCGCACCTTTGATCCCAGCACTTGGGAGGCAGAAGCAGGCAGATCTCTGTGACTTCGAGGCCAGCCTGGTCTGCATAGCAAGTTCCAGGCCAGCTGGGGCTATGGAAGACCCTGTCTCAAAAAGACCAATAATAATAATAATCTGTTATTTTGCTAAATTAAAAACAACAACATAACAATACCAAGCTGGAAGGACTTCCTTTGCCCATTCATTCTCTGTGTAGTTACCTAAGGGCTGGGGAGATGGCTTAGTGGGGATAAAGCACTGGCCGTGCAAGCATGAGACCAGACTTTGGACTTCCAGAACCCAAGTAAAAGCCAAGCAGGTAAGGCAGCAATCTTGTAATCCCACCCCTTGGGAGGCAGAGATGGAATCCCTGGGGCAAGCTGGCTAGCTCCAGTAGCTGATCGATGAGCTCTGAGTTCAATTGAGAGACCCTGTTTCAATAAATAAAGTTGAGTGACAAGGAAGACATCCAGTGTAAACTTTGATCCTGCATATGCAACACACATGTGTTCTGGCACACACAGGAACACACACACAGGAACACACATACACACACATCTGTTCACACCACATACACATGCACACATAAAAAATTTAAAAACGAAGTTACCTAAGTTTTCTGAGCAAGAAGTATCACCCTTTACAATGAATTCCTGACATTTGTCTTATGGGATTATTAGGAAGCTTAAGTGAGTATCTTGTGGTCCATTCTCCAGCCCCACTCATTCCTCTTAGTTAGTAAATCTTTATTGCATGATGGTGTTATTATGATTACTGTTATTATTTTCAGGGCTGGGACTGCAGCCCCGGGCCCCAGGTGTGTTAGCCAAGTGTTTGTTCTACCACGAAGCAACACCCACTTCCACTGCAGTGTTTTCATCTCATCAAATATATTACTAATGAATCCTGCATCTCTTAGTGTAGGTCAGGCCCTCTATCTAATGCTGCCCTACACATCCTTTGAACTTGGGAGTCTTTTCATTTCCAGTCTTTGCCCACTGGCCTCTTTTCTGCCCTGCTGACTATTAAAGCTTTTCCTGCCATGTTTGTTTGCAGATAACTTGTGTGAACATGAGGCTTTGTGAGGAAAGCTGTTAATAACTTAGGAAAATTGATCAATTGAAGTGGAGAAATGGAAGTGATTCTGTGTGTGTATGTGTTAAGTGTGCATGTCTGTGTAGGTGCATGTGCAAATGTGTGTACATTTGTGTGGGAAGCTAGATGAGAACCTTGAGTGTTGTTTCTCAGGCCAAGTAGGCTAGGCTGGCCGGCCAGGGCACTCCAGGGTCCTCTTGTCTTCACTTTCCAGAACTGGGATTACAAGCATGTACTCACTACCACACCTGGCTTTTTTATGTCTGTTCTGGGAATTGATATCAAGCCTTCATGCTGACAAAGCAGATACTTTATTGATTAAACTATCTACTCAGCCCCTAGAAACAATTCTTGACAGTTGGTTTGTAGCTGAGAAACCCAGATTTCGTGTCTTAGCGGGACTCATGTCAGGAAGGGAATTGTTGCAACAGACTGGAGGGAGGACCAGGACTCCCAGTCTGGGCTTCTATGATTTCCTGTCATCAGGCAAACCTGTGCTTCAGTGTTTCATTAATTTATTCACTTATCCAGTGAACTCTGCATCTGCCTCCTTTTGGCATGGTTTTATGTCTTTCCTGCATTAGTAAGGGTGCAGGTGTATGCACAACACTCGACCTGGCCAAGTTTCCTTTTACAAGGCTCTTAGTAGTGGCTCTCATATGCTTCAAATTTTATAGGATGTATGTACACACACACACACACACACACACACACACACACACACACAGACACGCACATATGCACAAAATTTATATGTTACAATTTTCTATATAAATAATACGTAATATAATGGATGTTCTTTATGTAGTAAAAAGGGCATTTAAAGAACATACAGGTTTAGTTTGCTCTGATTCATTTATTATGCTAATTTTGGATCATCTTAAAGCACTGTAGGTCAGTAGTTCTCAATCCTGGCTTTACTTTGGAATCGCCCAGGAGTTTCGCTTTAGAAAATATCCTAGGCCTCCCCCGAGTACTTATACCAGAAATCTCTAGAGGGATGACCCAGACATCAAGATGCTTTAGAAAGCTCCTGGGGGATTACCAAGGTTGAAAACCAAGGCTTGAGGTTTAAAGTAAAGCAGAGGTGGTGCAGTTTCACTCTTTATTTTCTTGATTTCTTTTCATCCCTAAGTGACAAGTCAAACTCTGTAGGATCACATGGATCAGCAACATGAGGCTCTTCAGAAGAGAGTGATGTGGTTGGATGGTCATTGCTGGTTGGACCCTTAAACTTTGGAAGGACCTGTTGCCAAACAGGAACAGGGACACGGGTGGTGGGGTGAGCATCTAGATGGAGGAGAGCAGATCTGTTGTGATTACTAGAAAGATCTAAAATGCTTTCTGCTTCTGCTGTCAGGACACTTTGTCTCTGCCAGTAAAGTGGTGCTGCATGTGAGCCGAATGACTATGCTGCATTTGACCAGGCTCCATCCAGCTCTTTTCATTCCTATGTCAGCTTTGGGAGATACTCCTGCCCATTTTGAAGATAAAAAATGGAGATTCAAGTTTTTGGCATAGTCCTATAATCTCACCTATTCAGCAGGGTGAGGTAGGAGGATTGCAAGTTTATGACCCACCTGGACTACAGAGCAAGTTCAAGGCCAGCCTGGGCAACTTAATGAGACCTTGTCTTAAAATAAAAAATAGCTGGAGATATAGCTCACTGATAGAGCTCTTGCTGAATGTGCAAGGCCCTGGGTTCAATCCCCAGTTCCACACACACACATATGCACACATAGTGGAGACTCAGATATAAGCAACTTGCCGGGAGCTGGATAACTGAGGATGTGCATGCCAGCCTCAGTTTCTCCATGGTGCTGCACTGGCCTCTTTCCATTTTGGAAAAGAGGAAACAGAAAGGGACGCTTACTGTTATGTATGAGAGTCTTGTTTATGAATTTTACAAATTCCAAGATCATTTTTTCCCAGTCTCTTTCCTTACATAGCTCACAGGATTTGGGTTTTGTTATTGTGATGGTGGTGCTACGGCTTGGGCAGCAGCTTGTACATGCTCAGCAAGCTCCCTAACATTGAGCTCTGTCCCCAGCCGAGGACTTCACAGTTTTAGAAGTGTCCACTCCCTACCGTATCATCTCCTAGAGAAGAGGCAGGTATTAACTTTAAATATTTTATTTATTATTTTTATTTTATGTGTATGAGTGTATTGCCTGCACGTATGTGAGTGCACCCATGTCGTGCAATGCCGCGGAGATCAGAAGAGGTCTTCGGATTCCCATGGAACTGGAGTTAAGGATGGTTGTAGCTGCCATGTGGGTGCTGGGAATCGAACCCGGGTCCTCTACAAGAGCAGTCAGTGCTCTTAACTGCTGAGCCGTCTCTCCAGCCCCAGTTATTAACTTTAATATGTGAGACCGGTAATGCATGGTGAGTAAATGCTGTATATCTGATGCTCCAGGTGTGGGGAAACACTGAGTACTTTTGTCTGCATGTGATTGTTGGTGTGCTGATTTTGAGTTGTTCTCCCAAGAGAACAAAGACAGAGTCACTTCATCCCTGTGTTTTCTGATTTCCCATGGACAAAGGAAAGACCAGAGAGGCAGTTGCCTGTGGTTAAAAATATCATAAAGGGGTGAATGTAATCAAAGTAAGTTTTATGCATGTATGAAAATACCAGAACAAAACTCCTTATTTTCTACGATTAAGGTAGGCTAATAAAGATGCTTAAGAAAAAAGTACTTTGTGACCATGGTGCCGATGAAGCTAGTTGCTGCCCAGCGTCCTGTGGGGCTTTGAATACTGTGGTTATCTCAGGGGAGGGGCAGTTGAGAGACTTAGTGATGCAACTGAAATTGGGAAACAGGGTGGATTCAACAAGTTCTTTAATGTGGTAAAAATAGCTAGCCTTGTTTCAGAGACCAGTAACTCTTTAAAGCATTAATACTATAATCTGTCTTATTAGAAACAATTATTTTTAGTCATAATAAAAGACAGTTTTTTTTTTTCTCAATTGAGAGCAGATACTATCGATAGTGGGCATACAGAGCTTAAGAGAAATGAGTGCACTTTCCACAAATGGCACCTTTGAACATCCACAGTGTGACAAAGTGTTTGTAAATCCCAAGGGACGCATCAGCCGGCATAGATTCTTTGGAGACCATCTTCTACTGTTAGTTTCAGCATTCAGTGTTAAGCACATATGACCCCTTTTGGGGGTGCCCCATCTTGGGGCTCACTGTGGAACCCACAGCATTGTTCGGTAGCTTAGTTGCCACGCCAGTTGGCATGCATTTAGCCACCTTCCTGCTTTCCAGAGCGAGGGTCTTAGCAGTTGGCATTGAGGTTTGTCAAAGATTCTTGAGAGCTGACTGTAAATTTCAGACAAGGGCATATTTTGAAGTATAGAGTGCTTTGGACACAGGAAGTTTAGAAGTGAGAAAGTGGTGTATAAATTGAAAATGACAGTGTAAGTTAAGGGTACAAGTGTCCTGACTCTCCTGAACTTTTTTCCTTATATGTTCCTGTAGAAACCCGATGTCTTGACCACTGGAGGCGGGAACCCAATAGGAGACAAACTCAATGTTCTGACTGCAGGGCCCCGAGGACCCCTTCTCGTTCAGGATGTGGTCTTCACTGATGAGATGGCTCACTTTGACCGAGAGCGAATTCCAGAGAGAGTGGTGCATGCTAAAGGAGCAGGTGAGGGAGATCGGTGTTCTTCACACCTAACACCTGGGCCAGAGAATTTCCCAAAGCATTGCAGGGCCTTAAATAGTAGGAAACTTCTAATTATTATGAGTAATCTTCCTTTAATAAGAGTCCCAAATCTGCATTCTTGGGAGAAAGGAATATGCCCATCAGTAGAACAATTTCTTAGGTTTACATTACACATTATATATAAAACAATTTTAAAATACTAACTTTAGGAGCTAGGGAGATGGCTCAGTTGATAAAGTACTAAATGCACAAGTATGAGGACCTGAGTTCAGATTTCTAGTTCATGGCAGGTGAAAAACAGCCAGGTGTGGTAGAATGCACCTGTAACCTTAGTGCTGGGATGGGGTTGGGGGGTTGGGGAATGACATGGACATGTGACAAGAGAATCTTAAAAGCTTATTAGCCTGCTAACCTACCTAAACTGATGAACTTCAGGCTCAGTGAGAGACCATGTCTCAAATGAATAAGTAAGAAAGCAAGAAAATAAATAGAGCAATCAAGGAAAGATACCCAGTATTGACCTCTGGCTTCCACACTCAAATACACACATGTACTCTTCACACCTGCATGCTCACGTGCATATGCACAGATATACATACAACACACACAGACACACACACACATACACAAAACCAAACAAAAAATAGTAGTGTTCCAGCTAGTGATGACACATGGTTGTCATTTTAAACACATATGAAGCAGTGGTAGAGAGACTGAGTTCAAGGTTAGCCTATGCTAAGAGCCCATCTCAATAGTCCACAGGCTGGGGATGCAGCTCAGTAGTAGTGTGCTTATTAGCAAGTCCTGGCCTTGAGCTCCAGCACCTCACAAACTGAAAAGTAACCTTTCATGGTTTTCCATCATGCAGTTCAATAAAGGAACGAAAATACTGATACAGAAACACATTAACTACAATGCAGTTTAAACTGTACACTTAGGATATAAATACTGAGATAATTTGCAAAATCGAGCATAGTTATTCTGGAGTGGTGAATTTGTGGTTGGTGATTTTTCATTCTCTTTTGTCAGAACTTCTATAAAACTTTGATCTTGCTTTTATGGTAGAAGTAGATGGTAGTGATGATTAAAAAGAAACACTCAGTAGGAAAACGAGCACCATAGACCGGAAATAAAACCCCAACATTTTCTTCTCAGCCTGCTTCTGTGGACTTACAATTTTTTTTTTGGTCTTTTTGAGACAGGGTCTCCCTGTAGTCCCAGCTGTTCTGGAACTCACTGTGTAGACCAGGCTGGCCTTGAACTCACAGAGATCTGTCTGCCTCTGCCTCCTGAGTCCTCCACGCCTGGCTGGACTCCAAATTTCTTCATGTCATCTTTCTAGGTAGATTTCGTCTCATTTTTTTTGTGCCATTTCCTTCACGACTTGATTTGCTATTCGGTTTGTTGTTCAGCACCTTGTTGTTGACTGTTCTTTTTGTCCCTTCTTTTCTCTGTTCCTTCCTGTCCTGTCCCTCTTTCTTTCCTAGGCCTTGTCTGTACTTCAAGGCTCTCTGAGGTCCTGTATCTTTGGTCAACTTTGACAAACTACTCCTAATTGCCCCCACCTCCTCCTTCTGGCTTCAGCTGTGTGGCAGTCAGGAGAGCACTGAGTGGCAATAGGGCTTTGCATTTTCCTCTTAACCCTATCATGTTAGAAGCTCCCCAAAGGCTGGCACTGGGTCTTCAGTTTGTCTTGTCACAAGTGCCCATTGAGGATATGGTGGCCTGAGTGATGGTCTTTCTGTGTCTTTTTCATTAGGTGCCTTTGGCTACTTCGAGGTCACTCATGATATCACCAGATACTCCAAGGCAAAGGTGTTTGAGCATATTGGAAAGAGGACTCCCATTGCAGTTCGATTCTCCACAGTCGGTAAGTCAGTTTGCATGCCTGGTCAGCTAAACTTAACCTGCACCTTATTTAGGGGGATTTATAACTTAATCTGAAGAAAAACTTTTAAGAAATAGAAAGCAAGTACTTATCTAAAATTTAGCCAGTTTTATTGTAGTAAAAGAATATCTGGAGATATATAGGAAGTTACATTTCTGTGTTTTGAAGTCTTAGGAAATCACCCTTGTGAAGAGGTTAGCTCTGCAATTCTGTGACATTTAGAAAGAACTTTCCACAAGTGATTGCCTCAGTGAGGAAAGTGGAGTGGGGATCTTATTTAATAACTATGATAACAACTGCCCTTTACTGATAATTAAGTCTAGAACATAGTATAGGTGATTTACTAATACTAATACGTAGATCTGTTTTGCAATATGGGATTAATCCATTTTAGAAAGATTTAGTCATTTTTTTTTCACGTTACAGAGTTAGTATTTGTACCTAACATACCACACACACACACACACACACACACACACACACACACACACATCTCAACACATCACAGTGCCTAATTAGTTAGGCTTTGGTCTTTGGCTTTGTGCCTTAAAAAAGACTTCAGGGACTAGAGAGATGGCTCAGCAGTTAAGAGCACTTGCAGATCTTGCAAGAGGACCTCAATTCCATTCCCAACATGGTGCCTATCAACTGTCCATAACTCCAGTTTCAGAGGATCCAATGCCCTCTTTGACCCTTCGTAGGCATTGCATGCTTCTATATGATGAACTTAACATACATGCAGGCAAAATACTCACACACATAAAATAGAAATAAAATGTAATTGCTATAGTGTGCAGAAATAAGATTAAGATAAACCTATATCTTAACTAATTGTCTTCTTACTAACTTCCTAATTCTAACAATTCACTTTGATCATTACTTTAATCTTCACAATTATTTTAATTACTCTCTTATTTTAATTACTTATTTAACCAATGTTATCTTTTTTATGGATAATCTTGTCTGCTGTTATATATTTGCTCTTATCAATCTCAATTTATTCTTTTGTTTGATTTCTAGACCCAATTAAAATATTTTATTATTTTAATTTTATGTGTATGAGTGTATTGCCTCCATGTGTGTAAGTGCACCCATACTATGCAATGCCCGTGGAGGTCAGAAGTGGGCATTGGATCCCCTGGAACTGGATTTACAGACGGTTGTTAGCTGCCATGTGGGTGCTGGGACTTGAACCTGGGTCCTCTGCAAGAGCAGTCAGTGCTCTTAACCACTGAGCTAGCTCTCCAATCCTGATTTCTAGACCCCATTAGAAAAAAATTACTGCAGACATTTAAATACTTAATCTGCTTCCAGGAAGTGGATTGGGGAGGACAGAAGCTGACAGTTCTCTGTGATTTATGATTTCTTTGTTAAAGTGCTGTGGCTGTGCCTTATTCTTCCATTGACTCTTCCAGCTGGAGAGTCGGGCTCTGCTGACACAGTTCGTGACCCTCGAGGGTTTGCAGTGAAATTCTACACTGAAGATGGTAACTGGGATCTTGTGGGAAATAATACCCCTATTTTCTTCATCAGGGATGCCATATTGGTATGTCATGGAATACTTTGCTCTCTACAAGTGTTGTTGATATATATTGGTTTCTAGTATTCTGTGTGGGTTGGTATTTGAGGACAAGCCCTGGGAAAAGGAGAGAATGTGGATTATCTGGACTATCCTTTTAAATATATTTTTTCAGAATTTTGTATCTTTCTATAAGATCAGATGATAATTATCACTGGCCTTAGATTTGGCTCATCAAGATTTTTTGACCTCGTGGGAATAGTCCATCTTTCCTTGCAGAGTACAGATGATTGGCCAAGAGAGGCTTTGCTTGAAAAATAGAGGATATGTCTACATATCCTGCTAGTGTGTGTGTGTGTGTGTGTGTGTGTGTGTGTGTGTGTGTGTGTGGCATTGTTGTTTAAAGAGATACTTTAGCTTTAAGTACATTTTTTACTATATCTAAGGAATTGGTTGTATATGCTAAGGAAATTTCACTTTAGAATTTAGCAGTTTAAATTTCTAGAACTGGATTGATTAGCATTATATTCCATAAATGCGCCATAGACAGTGTATCATGTAAGACACTATAATTCTTGTAAACTTGGGTTTTTTACTTTTCTCCCTGCCCCATTTAGTTTCCATCCTTTATCCATAGCCAAAAGAGAAATCCGCAAACCCACCTGAAGGATCCCGACATGGTCTGGGATTTCTGGAGCCTCCGTCCTGAGTCTCTCCATCAGGTGAGAACTGTTTCTTCTTCAGTCTATTATAATGTATCACTTGGGATGGAATTGCTAATCAGGCCTTATAATGTATTTTTGCAGTTTTGGTTGTTTATTGGAATTGATTCTTGGCTGTCTTTCAGGGATAAGTCTTCAGATTTCTTGCTCATAAAGAGTTTTAGAGTGACTGATTTTTATCTTCATTCATAGGCTTAAGTGGTAATGTTAAATGGCTGGAAACTGATCAATTTGTATTTAGCAGTCTTAACAATTAAAATCTATAAACCAGATGTGGTGGTACACACCTTTAATCTCAGCACTCAGGAAGCAGAGGCAGGTGGATCTCTGTGAGACTGAGGACAGCCTGGTCTATGTGGCAAGTTGTAGACCAGCTTGGGGCTTCCGGGAGATCTTGCCTCAAAAGAAAGAAAAAAAAAAAAAGTCTAATTTGAGGTAAAGCTATGTATTAGGGAAATGAGAATAAAGTAACACCAAACTATTTGGTATTAAAATAAAGTTTGAACAATGGCTTAGGCTACTTTTCAGATTTGTATTAGTATAGAATTTTCTGATGACATTACTAATTTATGCATCCTCATACTTTAAAATTTTTGTCATTTTCTGTAGATGAACTAAAAGTAGCTCTTCCCATGGGAAATTAATGGGTATGTTCCATGCCATGAACTTTGTATATTTTGATTTAAATCCAAGGACTTTAGGCTCTCCATTTCTGTTTTTTAGGTTTCTTTTTTGTTCAGCGATCGAGGGATTCCAGATGGACATCGGCACATGAATGGATATGGATCCCACACTTTCAAGCTGGTTAACGCAAATGGAGAGGCAGTTTACTGCAAATTCCATTATAAGGTACACTTCTCAGGGCAGAGGGTACAAGGCTCTTCTGCCTACTAAACGTCTCTTCTTGCTTCTCCCACTGTACCTTTGCCTCCACTCAGGGTACAAAGAGTTGGTGTAGTTGATTAGCCCTATGAATACTTTGTGGCCACTGCTCTGGTGGACAAATTCAGGCCACTCAATTAGAACTGTGTGTAGTCAGTCCTTGGTCACTTTACATGTGTCTAGAGGAAGAGCAATGGCTGCTATCTTTCTATAACCTTGGCTTACATTATAATAAACTATATTACCAGTGAATTTGAGAGGGTTAGCAGTATTCTTAAAGAACCTCAAGGGATTAAAAATAGAAGCTTGAGAACTTCTGTTTCCAAATATTACTGCTAAAATAGGAAGAAGGAAGTGGGCTTGTGACAAATGCAGTCTCCCTTTTTGTGTATTTGTGGTACTGGAACTGAACCAAGACCCTTACTCATTCTAGGCACTGAACTGCATCCCCAGCACTCTTTGTATTCTGTATTTTGAGACAGGGCCTAACTAAGTTACCCAAGCCAACTTTGAACTTACTCTGTAGCCCAGGTAGACGTTGAACTTGCCTCCTGCCTCAGCCTCCTGAGTAGCTGGGATTTCAGGCCTGTACAACCCAGACTCAACAACTCTCCCTTTTAATGTCATCCAGAAGCCCTACTTCCTTCCATCATGTTTATCAGAGCAAGTTGTTCAGGTGTTTTCAGTAGGAAAATTGTCCCCTTCCTTTATATTTGTACTAAGAAACAGTTAACCCCTTGATTTATTATTGACAAAAGGAGCTGTTTAAGGTGATTTAGAGCAAGACTGGGTGACTTTGGGGGATACCCAATCTAGACAGTAGTTTTGGAGTTAGGACAGTTGAACTCAGATCTTGACTGTCCTGGATAACCATGACATTGGGCATATTGTTAGTTCTTCTCATGTAAAGTTGGGATGCTTCTCCTAACTGTTCACAGACCTAGAATGACGAGATTACTTATGAGTTTGTTCAGCAGAGGATCCTGAGGTAGGCTGATAGATATATCTAGCTTATTCTACCTAAAACCAGGGGATTCAGCTAAAATCAGAAAATTTTTGCACTATTATTGCTTAATTGAATGTTTTAGTTCACTGGATTACCTACAGACAGTGGCCTTCATTTTTTAATCCCGAAGGCGGCTTCCTTTCTGGCCCCTTCCAGAGTTGATTTTGCTAAGAAAATGTTTCCATGGCACATGGCTTCTGGAGTCTTTCAGGATAAGGTGCATGATCAGTCAGTTGAAGAGGAGGACTCTGGTGATGGGAGCACTGAGGAAAGTGACACAGTACCTTTGGATTTTATTGGCTTGTTTGGAAAGGCAGGATGTTAATTGTGCCTGCATATAGAGAACTAGTTCAGAGTGGTTACACTGAAGTTCTTTTTAGCTCTGTGAACTCTGATTCTATAATTCCTTAAAAAATAAAATAAAAGGAAGGGACTGGAGAGATGGTTCAGGGGCTAAGAGCACTGGCAGCTCTTACAGAGGACCTGGGTTTGGTTCCCAGCATTTACATGGCAGCTAACTCCTGTCCTTAATTCCAGTTCCTGGGCATCCTATGCCCTCTTCTGGCCTCCACGGTCACTACATTCATGTGGTGCACTTCAATACATGCAAACACAACACTCATACACATAAAGATAAAATGAAATAAAAGGAAGTGAATGGGATGGAGGATTATTAGCTGATCACAATTTCAAGTAATTGATTTGAGATGGTAATGAAATTATTTCCAGCATTTCTGGGTATATATCTCAAGCAACTAAAATCAGTATGTCTAAGAGACATCTGCATCCTTGTGTTTATGGAAGCAGTGTTCACAATAGCCAGAAAATGGAAATAACCTAAGTGTCCATCAACTGATGGAGTAAGAAAGCAAGATACAATGGACTGTTGTTTAGCCATAAAAAAGAAAGAAAGAAAAAAGAAACCCTTGTCAGTGTGACAGCATGATGGAGCTGAGGATCATTGTGATCAATGGAACAAGCCAGGCCTATCAAGACAGATGCTGCATGCTCTCTCTCATCTGCAGAATATGAAAAAGTTGATTTCATAGAGGATGAGTGTAGAACGATGGCTGTCAGAGGCCATGGAGAGTAGGGGCTGGAGGGGAAAGGCCGATTGGTGGGTCCTGGGCCACAGCTAGAGAGGTGCGAGTTTGAGTGTACTGTTGATGGATGGTGACACTAGATAGTGACTGTGCACTACAGACCTCAAAAGGCTGAAAGAAGGGATTGGGATGTTTTGCCATAAAGAAGTGGTGTCACCCCATTAATATGCATAACTTTTGTTGTTTTTATGTAAGTTAAATAAATTCCAAGTTTTAAAATGTCTAAGTTTATTAATCTTTTTCTTATTTTGACTTTTAAAAAATGATTTATAAAGTAACATGAAGGCCATTGAGATGACTCAGTGGGTTATATGCTTGTCACTAAGCCTGACAACCTGAATTTGATCCCTGGGACCCATATGGTAAAAGGAGAGAACTGACCCCTGTAAGCAAGTTGTCCTCTGACCTCCACCCAAGCACTGTGGCATGCAAATGTCACCCCCTCAAATAAATACATAATGTCATAAAATTTTTTAAGTGGAACTCAAGTGTTTTGTTTAAATTTTTAATTCAAATAATACAGACTATATAGGGAAAGAGAGGAATGATTTTAAATATGAAAAATGTGAAAAAATTCTCTTGATGAGTAGAATTTCTGAATATCAAATTCATTAGTATCAGCTTTGAATAACAGAAGCATTGTTATTAAGAAACTTCAGTCTGAGTTATGGTCCCCATAACTCTTTAATGAACTGCTGATTGTTTTGAGACCCTCTCAATAAGTGTGAGTCTGAATTTCCTTCTTTCACTTTGTAGACTGACCAGGGCATCAAAAACTTGTCTGTTGAAGAGGCAGGAAGACTTTCCCAGGTAGATCCAGACTACGGCCTCCGAGATCTTTTCAATGCCATTGCTAAAGGCAACTACCCGTCCTGGACTTTCTACATCCAAGTCATGACATTTAAGGAGGCAGAAACTTTCCCATTTAATCCATTTGATCTTACCAAGGTAAGTCAGCAACAACTGTATTGTTTTCTTCTATATCTTCTTACCTAATTAAGAAAAAACATATAGCCAAGCCTTCACAGTGATGGGGACTCCATAGATAAGAGGTTGGGGCTCTGCAGGATCCCCACACCTACCCTGAGTACCTGCCAGTGCCTCACTTTGGTTACTTGTGTGAAGTTCACCATAGTGGCTTCTTGTGTTGTTAATTAACAGGGAAGGATCTTTGGAAAGCTTTGTACTTTAGTCCTGTGCAAGTGTCAGTATTTACCATTACTATTTCTAACAAATAACACAATCATCTGAATTTCTTATCATATTTTTATTGGATTAAAAATTGTCATCACTGGTTTGGTTATATGAAAGCTTTTTTTTGAGGCAGATTCTCCCTGTAGCCCGAGCTGGCCTGGAACTTGATGTAGACCAGGTTGGCCTCAATCTCACAGAAATCCACCTGCTTTTGCCTCCCCAGTGCTTGGATTAAAGGTGTGGGCTACCACACCCTGTTTGAAAGTTGGTATTTTTATGGGTACATTTAATTTCCTCGGTTGATTATCTGGTAATTGTGAATATGACATTATTTTCAGGTCTGGCCTCACAAGGACTACCCTCTTATCCCAGTCGGCAAACTGGTCTTAAACCGAAACCCACTTAATTACTTTGCTGAGGTTGAACAAATGGCTTTTGACCCAAGCAACATGCCCCCTGGCATTGAACCCAGCCCTGACAAAATGCTCCAGGTAAGCCTAGTGGGTTGGGATGTTCTAAGGCAGGTATCTGTGTAGATACACATAGATGCACACAGTATGTGATTTGTTATGTTCTTTATATGATGAATTAGTAAAACATTCATTTAAAATTTAGCCCAGGTGCTTAAGGCCTTGTGGGACTCACTGGGACAAAACATCCTTGGGTGGGTACTCTTGAATAAACCAATTATATACCAAGATCCATAGTAAATCCTTAATATTTGAAGATGTGAACACTTGATTTCTGAAAAAAAGATATAGTAGCAATGTCTTAGTTTTTTAGAAAAATAAACATGGGTTAGCTTAGCCTATAAAGATATAATTAATGATTATAGCACCTTTGACATATAACTTTATCCCATTGCTAATCCAAGGTGGTGCTTGCATTTTTTCCATCTTTGAAAACAGATCCATGAATGATTTTTATTAGCCTGATTTTGTGACACTGGTGATGAATGGCAGGGGAATAGTTTTGAAGTGCTGGGCATTCAGCAAGCTTTAAATCGCCTTCCAGTGTCCTCTGCCCAGAGTTCAAAGAGTGAAAATTCTACTTTGGATCTGAAATCACTAGGAAAATAATTGGCTTAATAATTATTTTGCAAACCAGTCTTTTGTGTTTTTAGACTATGAGCATGAAACAAAGGTTAAAGGTTAGACCTTAGATCAAACCACAGAAACCAAAGGTTATTACTTATGTAAGTTCTAATTCCAGGCAAATATCAGACTCCATGGAAGGCAAGCTAAGATATTCTTTCTTTCTCTCTCTCTCTCTCTCTCTCTCTCTCTCTCTCTCTCTCTGACATTGGGAACATCTTATACTTTTTAAGAAAGTAAGTTTTTTATTAGTTTTTGGCTCCAGTTAACTAATACCAATTGATCACCTCCCTGCTGGGTCTGATACTGTGAAACACTACATAACATAGTGTAAGACAGAGGGTACTGTGGTGGATCCGAAATGTATGTGACAGGAAGTCACTAGCAAAGTGCCAGGAACAAGATAGCATTTGAGATAGACTGTGAAGGCTGGGGAGGATCCCAATTTTCCACAGGTGATGTGGGACAGGAGAGAGACATGAGAATGGGCACAAAGGTGGGCTATGTTGTGAATGTTTAAACTTCATAGTCACTGCCTGAATGAGAGGAATGGAGTGTGGACAGGTTCACTGAGAATGTGTTAGAGGTGCCTTTAAATACTGGATGTTTGTACAACTGTTCATTCTAGAAAGAAGGATTCTTCAGGGTTTTTGTTTGTTTGTTTGTTTGTTTGTTTGTTTGTTTGAGAAATAAGACCTGGTAGCTATCAAGTAGAATCATTCCTCTCTGTAATAAATAGTAAGACTCATGGTGGCTAGAGTGATGGCTTAGCAATTAAGAGCACTTACTGCTCTTGCAGAGGATCTGGGTTTAGTTCCTAGAACCCACATGGTGACTCATAACCATCTGTAGTTGTAGTTCCAGGGGATCCAACACCCTCTTCTGGCTTCCATGAGCACTAGGCATGTATATGGTACCTATGCGTACATGTAGGCAAAACACTCATATACATAAAAATAAATACATCTTTAAAAATATAAGGGGTTGGGGATGGGAAAGGGAACTGAGTGGATTTCAGATTGTAAGCAGACACATTTACTTATGTTGACACTGGGGACTAGAGGAAGTTGAGACATGTGACCCTGGGCCCCAGCCTTTCCTGTTTGGTGGCAGGAAGAGACCTGAACAGTGAGATGGTGGGACTAGCAGGGTTCACCAAGGCATGAAATTGTCATGGACAGAGATCAGCCTGTATAATCCTGGTACTGAGGAAGTAGATTGAGGAGTAAAAGATAATTCAAAGTCTTCACAAGAATCCATTTCACCATTGGTCTTTGGGACCACAGTGAGACTCAGAGGCAGACAGCGACCCAAATCACACAGTCGCACAAGCCCTGAAGATTCAAATGGAGTGCTAAGCCTATACTAAAACACCACATAGCAAATACATACTCTGTACAGCAAAAGACAGATGTAAGCCAGGAATAGTGAGCATGCCTATAATCCCAGTACTGAGGAGGCTAAGGCAGGAAGCACTTGCATTCAAGGCTAACCTTGGCTACATAGCAAGATGCTGTCTCAAAAACAAACAAACAAACAAAAAAAAAAAAGGAAAAGAAAGAATGTATAGCATGTATTGAAACTGTGGGAAAGAAAATCTTGAAGAAAGATGATATAAGGATATTAATTATGTAATTTCTATTAGCACTAATTTTAGTTCTAACAAATATGTGTATTTTAAATTTATTATGCTTTCGTTGTAATCTTTGCTTGATTTTTTTTTTTTTTTGAGATAGGGTCTCCCTAGTAGCACTAACTGGCCTGGAACTCTCTATGTAGATCAGCCTGGCCTGGACCTCACAGAGATCTGCCTGCCTCTGCCTCAGCCTCTGAGTACTGGGATTAAAGGTGTGTGCTCCTACATCTGGCTTTGTTATAGTGTTTTTAAATGCGTTTTTAAAAGAGTGTTTGAAAGAGCTCTCATACATCTCATCAGGGTATTGTACCTAGCCTAGCTTTTGCCATAACTCCTCCGGGCGTTTAGTACCCTGTATTCTAATTCCATGGAGCACATGAGGAGCCATGCAGTAGGGGATGGACCCCTGGGCTTATTTAGCTATTTGGTGACACTGAGGGATTGTCGAAGGTTGTTTGAATGGGTAAAGAATGCAATCCGAGGAGGCTTTAGGGAGATTCTTTAATGGAACTATTGGGGCAGAGAGCCAGTTAGGAGGGCTGTAGTTATTCCCCAAAAGAAGAAGACTGTGGCTTAGGCAGTTGCATTTCTGTGTTAATGGACAGTGTCCATTGTTTTTTGACATGGTCATGTTAATAAATTTTAAGACTTTATCCAACATGGCAAGCCAGGCTACCACGATATGGGCAACGCTAGTATGATACAGGAAACAGAGTGGCCTGAGTTCATGGCTATGCAGTACAGCCTTTCTTTGCTCCCAAATCTGAAAAGGAATTGAGTGGTTACTTGAGTGGGGACGGACTGTTCTGCCAGGCAGAGCAATGTGTAAGGAATAAAGCTTTGAGTAAGGTCTCCCTCCATTCAAGTTGGTGTCAGGGTGTGGGTTCTCCATGCCCATTTTCTACCCTATGTGTGTCTCCACCCATAGATGAGGTTGGCTTGCATGCTAAATATAAGGTGACCAAACCAGAACAGGGTGATAGAGGACCCATCCAGGAGCTGCGGTGGCTCCATCGTATCTTGTAGCTTGTCGATGGTGCTGGAACATGAGGAGGCAACCAGCTTCTGACTATTGCTGCAATGTAGTTACACCTACATGGCTAGCCATCTAAATGTTCCCTAGATGATTTGGGATGGTTATAGGAAGAAGGGTCATTTAGCCATGATGTTGGCAGAACATGTTGATGTGATTTGGCACAAAATCGTTGCTTCATTTGCCTTCTTTACCTTGGTATTTATTTTTCATTTTTAAATGTTCCTTTAAACATTTTAAATGAATTTTAAGTTGGCATACAAATTAATGAGTTTTATTCTGACATTTTCATACATGTATTGTTATTGTACTTGGTGTTTATCGGTCCCCTTCCCCTACTGCCCTCCATTATCTGTCCTCCCCCACTTTGTGGTCCTCCAATTCAGCTTTCCTGTCACATGTATTCCATTACCCTCTCTGTTCTCCCTACTTTAAAATCTCTTCCTTCCCTCTCAGAGTCTCCTTTCTATTTTTTTTAACCTTGTTTTTAAAAATTATTTCTTATTAGGAACATAAGAATAGTTTTTAATAGTCAAAGCAATGATCAAGTCAATGAAAGAATTGCTTATAGAGTAAACTTTGTATGAGAATTTTTCAATAATTGGATATTACTATTAGCACAGAGTTAATCCTAAAACTTTGAGCTGAAAGAAATGTGAAGGCCTGGATCATCTTTCCTTGGTTGATAGGAGACCTCATTTGCATATCTAAGTTAGTCTTAGAGTCATTGGAGGGTCAGAAGTTCCACAGCTTTGTCTTTGTGCTACTTTGCTTAAGTTAATAAGTCTCAGAGCTCAAATTATATCTGAGGTAATTCACCATGCATGAAAGGCCTTTCTTTGAAGAATTTCCACACAGCTGGCTTTGTAGAAATGTGCTGCTTTTTAAGAGCAAATGCATGGTTCTTCCCCTAGAGTGGAGCATTGGAGAGATGTAGAATTAATTCAGAATTCTTGGGAGTTGGAGTGTGAAATACTGAGCCAAGACCATAGAATGTCACTGGGGGAGAGGGGCGGGTCAGCACTATTATATAGGACAGATGTGAAGTTAGTGGTTGCCCAGATGGCTTGGAAGATTAGGGATGATTCATTTAGGCAGAACACACTTCCTAAGTGAGAAGAGTCTTGGCTCTTTGGAGAGGGACTAGAGTTTTGTAGTAACCATGTACTGTGAATGATGTTTCATACATAAATGTCCCTGATGTCTACTGTGTGTGTTACTGAAGGGCCGCCTTTTTGCCTATCCTGACACTCACCGCCACCGCCTGGGACCCAACTATCTGCAGATACCAGTGAACTGTCCCTACCGAGCTCGAGTGGCCAACTACCAGCGTGATGGCCCCATGTGCATGCAGGACAATCAGGGTAGGCCTGGACACGTTTGGCTCCTTGTGAAGGCAGAGAGCATGGGGTTTGGATGAGGTGGGATGTCAGGCCACTGGTTCTCAAGCTCGCCCTGTGGGGCCTCCTGCCCTGCGACATGCCCTGCAGGTGCTGCCAGTCACCCAAGACCTTTTGCCCAATAGTAAAGTTTTGAACTGCCAACCGTCTCTCCTGGTGGCTGTCTATTTTATATACTTTCTTGGAAATTCCCACTTGAGAGTGCCCTTGGTGACTATCCCACAGTCGAAGCCTAGGTGAAAGGTCTCACACAGTGGCTGTAATGGTGCATCCAACCTAGGTTACAAAATGCTCAAAATGTTCACTTCATGCACCAGGGCCTAGGCCTTAGGAATGTGAAGGCCCAGAGCACATCCCTTTGACTTTCTGCAGCAGTGCTGGGGCCAGGAGGAGCAGGTCTGGCTAGAATGTGGAAGGGAAGGTTGGGCTAGTGAGGGGCGAGGAGGGGAGGTAAAGGAAATCAAGGGATTCTCTTCCGTGCGCTTCTCTTAAGAGACTATGGTTGAAATTATGTAAATCAGCTGCTGAGGTGCTGTATTTTTGGTATTTTGGAGCTCGTTTGTCAAGTATATGATTTTTTTTCCCCTTTACTTTTTTTGTGCCCTGTACAAAACAGCCTCTAGGTTTAATTTTTTATTCTGATTAGCCAAGCAGGATGCTTGATTAATGTTTCCTCTTATAATAGTCCACGGTTTAATAAAGATCTTAGTTTTTTAATTTCCTGCTTAGGGTCCATGGATCAGTGGTTGGCTTCCGAAATAGATCTCGTCCAAAGTTTGATTGATACTGTTTATAGTCATAATATTTATAGTGTTTATAGTCATAGTGTTTATAGTTATAGTATTTATAGTCATAGGTGTCTGTATTAAAGCAAAATGTTTTGCACATGGTATGATACTCGTATGATAAAAAGAATACATGTAAGGTGCATGCCTTTAATTCCAACACTTGGGAGGCAGGTAGAGCTCTGTGAGTTTGAGGCCAGCCTGGTCTACATAGCAGGTTATAGGGAGACCCTGCCTCAAAAAGACACACACAAAATAGAGAATACATGTACCCTAAAGGGAATTTGGAAAATAGAGAACAAAAATCCACTAACTGTTCCAACACCCAAAGGCCATGATGACTGCATCTTTCTGTATTTCTTGCCATTCTTTTTGGTGACTATTTTTACATACCTGATCATTTTGTGTATGCCATTTTGTACTTGCTCATATTGTAGTTATTCCTAAGCCTTCTCTTCTGTATTTAGTAAGTGTGTAAGCTTTCTAACAAACTCTGTTGAGTGGTTGCAGTATTTCTGCCCCCTTAGGTTTATACTAGGCATGCACTGTTGTTTTTGCCTGAAATCGTGGGTATTCCCTGTGTCTGCGTTCTGCGTTCTCATTCTCCTGTTTCTGATTTTTTCTTCTTATTTTTTGGTCCTTTTGTTGTTGCAGCTGTGGCTAGCACAGAGGGTCATGTTTATTTTGAGTTTATTTATAGCCAATTGCCTCATGTTTACACCCCAGCCTTATTCTTATGAAAAAGCTGCTTCAAAGATCTATTTTGACATGCTCTGCTTAATTTTAGAGAGCATTTGGGCCATGCTCTTGAAGTCCCATGAAAGAGCTTAATTGTTCCCAGTAGTCAATGCCTTAAAGAAAACTCCCACTTTTGGGTGAAGGTCAGAGCTTATTTGGAAATAGAACTTGAAAATACTCAAAGAGGCACGCACATTTCAAAAAGTGAATTCTTACTACAGAGACATTGTGGTGGCTGGCTGTTGGAACACTGTGCTTTTCATACGCACATGGCTGCCCCAGGTCCCATTTCTTGAGTGAATAATTGATCTCCCTAATGATGTAGGGCTGTCCTCCCCTGCACAGGCCTTTGGTGCCTTGATGAGTGTGATAGGAGGCTTCTTTTAATTATCTGCTGTGGATCATCTGTCCTGGCAGAAGGCCAGGTAGCATTCCAGCCACAGGCTGATTTGGATAAGCCATTTCCTATGTTTTCAGGCCACTCCTGGCAGACAGTGTGGCCTCTGATAAGTCAGACTTCTTTTAATATCAGCCAAAGCAGGGTATAGTTTGGAAAGTAAGTACACCAAAATGAGAAAAAGAAAATTTGATAATTTAGCCCAGAAGTCATAAAGAATATTTCAATTATATTTGTCACTGTTTTTTTGGTAGGTCCAGATAAATGAGTGATATTATAAATATCAATTAAAAATGTTTAATTTTTGTATATGTATGAGTGTTTTGCTTGCATGTATGTATATGTACACTGGGCATCCAATGCCTGTGGAGGCCAGAAGAGGGTGTCGCACCCCCCTCCCTGCCCCCAGACTGGAGTTACAGATGGTTAGCCGCCATGTAGGTGCTGGGAACTGAACCCAGGTCTTCTGCAAGAGCAGCCAGTGCTCTTAACCACTGAGCTATCTCTCCAGCCCCAAATGTAATTTTTAAAAAAACTTCCTTTTTTACCTCTTTTTTGGGGCAATATAAAAGAATCTTAAAAACGCATAAGCAACAGTCAAGTTCTGTGATGAAAGTAGTGGTTATACTGGGCTACAAGTGACAGAAAGAAAGGCAGAGTTCCAATTCTGCCTCTACCACTAAGCTCTGGGTGACCACGCAGCAGCTGTCAATGTCTCAGAACTTCAGATTTGATCTCTAGATGGACAAATGGGGCCACAATTCCCAGGTTACACCTGACAGTGGGGATTCAGTGAAGCCCACATCCAAATGAAACTGTCAAATTTGAAACGTTTTTGGGTCTGATCTCAATGGAGACCAAATCAAATGTTTTAAGATTCTTCCTGGTATAGGTAAGCCCCAGGAGACTTTGTAGCCAAGGACCTTTGAAGTGTTGACATGGCCTTTGAGATCTCTTTATTTGAACTCAGAATGGGGGCCTAGATGAGCATTTAAAGAGGGCCTCACAGTCTGAGCCTATAGCTTCCCAGTGTGTGGTGTGTATACCCCATGTCTGATGTGTATTTGATTACTGCGGGAGCTTACTGCCTACACTGATGATTTATAGACTTGTTTAATTTTTTTTTTTCATCTCTCTAAGCAGATCTGTGCTTCTCTTTAAAGGTGGTGCTCCAAACTACTACCCCAACAGCTTTAGTGCTCCAGAGCAGCAGCCCTTTGCCCTGGAGCACAGTGCCAAGTGCTCCATGGATGTGAAGCGCTTCAACAGTGCGAATGAGGATAATGTCACTCAGGTAATTACTTCTTTGCTGTAGAGAGCACTTGCTGGTGCTTGTCTAATGTATGTGCCTCTTGTCCCCCCTTCTAGTTTGCTTCTCCATGGCTGAGATAAAAACACTGAATCAAAACCAACCTGGGGAGGAAAGGATTTATTTGGCTTATAAGTACAGTCTATCATCAGAGGTAACCAAGGCAGGAACTCAGGAAGGAATCTGGAGAAATAGTGCTAACCAGCTTACTCCTTTAGCCCTTGTTCAGCCTTCTTTCCTATATAACACAGGCCCCACCTGCCCAGGAGTGGTACCACCCACAGTGAGCTGGGCCCGCCCACATCATTCAACAATCAAGAAAATGCCCCACAGGCATAGCCACAGGCCAATTCAATAGAGGAAATTCAACTGAGGTTCCCTCCACTCAGCATATCCCCCCTTCTTTTTTTCAGACAGGGTCTCACTGTGTAGCCCTGGCTGATCTAGAACTCACAGATCTGCTTGTCTCTGCTTCTCAAGTGCTGGAATTAGAGGCATGCACCTACAATGGGCATCCCGCCCCCCTTAAGGTGTCTAATGTATATGGAATTGAAGCTAGGGAAGATTTAGCCCAGATAGTAAATCATGCTCTTTATTGACTGGAGTCAAAGAATTGTGTTATGTTGCCCTTTCCATTCCAGATATAGAAATTCATCTCAGTTCCCCTAGCCTTCTTTAAGGGATACAGTTGGCGATGTTGGAAAAACGTGCTCTCATGGGAATCTAAGAAATGGGCAAGTAAGACATAAGCACTGTTGAATCTAAGCATCCTAGCAGAACTGTCCACATCCTAGGGATTAGAACTGGAGATCCAAGACAGCCAGAGAGGGCTGGGAATGCAGCTCAGAGGTAGAGTGCTGGATCCCTGGCACTATAAAACACAGAACAAAAGAAGCAGAGTTTGTGTGGGTTCCATATGGATCTTCGGGGCATGTGGCCCAGTTGTTCTCCAGCTGTTTGCATCTGCTCCCACTGTGACTCCCCACTTTTCTCCCTCTTTCTCCCTCCTGGCTTCTGTTGCTTTGTCATGGCCATGGCCTAACTTGCCTTTATGACTTATTTCTCTTTCTTTAACCACCTTTACTCTATCTTGCGGAACTGCTCTGTCACATTTGAGAGAGAATCAGATTGACTTGGCCGATCTTTTCACCCCCTCGCTGTACCCTTGGCCTTGGATCAGTCTGTAATCAATAACCCTGAGTCACGTGCTCATCCTGTTTCTGGTCATGTGTGGCTGCCCCAAGGGCTCTTCCACTGGCTACTGTGGGTCTGTGCATGGGCAGGGATGTGTGTCCAGTGCAGCTCAGTCCACACACAGCAAAAGAGTAAGAGTGGAGTGTCATTAGAGTCTTATGTGGGAGGATTATGTTAAATTAGTATTTAAGTTTGGTTAGGACCTATTTATAATTTTTCAGTTTGAAAATGTAGAGTCTAAGTAGAATATTCATAAATATAAAAATGAAGTCACTGTAAAGATATCTGTTTGAAAGGCATTTGTGTGTGTATGTGTTTTATTATGGGTTCTAAACCATATTTAGGTGAACTTAAAAGAGGTCCCCTAAGCCTTTTGTATTAGTTTGTTAGCGTATTAGTTTTAGTGTTGTACTGTTTATTAACTGGATTAGTTTTAGTGTTGCAGGTGATACCAAGTATATTGCAATATAGCCTCTGCCCCTCAAAAGAACTTTGCTTGTGTAAGGTCAATGCAGGCATGAAGCAATCTTATACAACTTATAAAAACCAATTAACTAATGAGACCATTGCTTGCACATTAAATTTTACTGTTATGACTCTTCTTTCTTTTTTTTTTTTTTTCTTTTTGAGACAGTGTCTTCCTGTAGCCCAGGCTGGCCTGGAACTTTCTATGTAGACCACTATGGCCTTGATCTTACAGAGATCCACCTGCCTTGTTTCCTGCATGGTGGGATTAAAAGTGGGCACTTCCATGCTTGGTCCATATGAGCTTTCTTGTTTTATTGAGATTTTCTTATCACAACATAGGACTCACACTTTTAAGCAGCCATGATACTGGTGTTAAGGCTTCAAAGCATAATTGTGTAATGATAAAAGTTTCATGGGGGAGGGGTGGCTGGAGAGATGGCTCAGTGGTTAAGAACACGTTTAGAGAACCTGGGTTTAGTTCCCTCCCACATGGAGGACTAACAAATGTCCTTAACTCCAGTTCCTGGAGATCCGATGCCCTCTTCTGGCCTCTGTGGGCATTGCATGATATGAGCGCACTTATATGTAGGCAAAACACTCATAACACATAAAATAAATAAAAATTTTTTTCTAAGTTTCATAGGAAATACACAAAAAGCTGAAGATTTATTTACTTAAAAAAGATTCACTTGTGCTTCCAGATGTGCCTAAGAGGACTTGCTCATATTAGACCTATCCTCTTGTGGAGAGCGTTGGAAAGCCAGATGAAAAGCTTTGGAGAGCTAACAGGAAAGGACTTAATGACTAAGATCTCAGGAAAATTACAGAAAATGTGTGTGTGTGTGTGTGTGTGTGTGTGTGTGTGTGTGTGTGTGTGTCTGTGTGTGTGTCTGTGCAAGAAGCAAGTGAGGTTGGATGTGCACTATGAAGAACTTTTAATGCCCACAGAAGAGGTTCATACTTCCCTGCAGATAAATGACTTGTTTAAAGAATTCCCAAAAACTTGACCATGAGCTCTCATAACAAGCTGGCTACAGTGTGCCTCTAGAAATGCTCTAAAATATTCCTTTTGGGGGTAGGGGTGCTGGTAAGCTGGCTCAGCAGGTAAAGGTGCTTGCTGCCAAGCCTGACAGCCTGAGTACAAACTCCAGAATGGTAGGAGAGAACTGCAAGTTGTCTTTTGACCCCTACACGTGTGCCATGACATACACATTCCTCTCTCACTAAATAAATGTAAAAAAAGAGAAAAATCCCTTTTGGTTCAAGATGGTAGATTGAGGTGACAGATTTCTTTTTCTTCCTCCCTCTGTCCTCCCTCTGTCCTCCCTCCCTCCCTGGCTTCTGTCCTGGCTTCTGTCCTGGCTTCTGTCCTGGCTTCCACTCATTGACATACTAGATGAAATTTTTTTAAAAGTCAAAAAGCTCAAATAAAAACATTATCTTTAAGTTACAAGAATGAAAATGAGCCACAGTAGTGAGTGGAGATGTGTTCTGTAAACTCTGGAGGTAATAAGAACTGGTTTTCCCCTTATGAAGGTGCTATGTGAAGGTGCCTCCAAGGAATGAGTTGAAGCCACAGGCTTCATGGGTTGCAGAGAGCTAGAACTGGTCTCTTGACATAATGGTGAGGACCAGGAAAGAGCTACTCACCAGACTGAGCATGCAGCTTGGAAGGATATGGGCTCTAGGTGGGCGCAGCCAATCCTGAGAAGGGAACCCTTTCCCTACGCTATGCTCAAGTGAACTCTGCATTCTTGTCTCATTTAGAGTCATATGGAAACTCTGAACTCAGAAACATGTAAATCAGTGAACCCTTAAGGCCTTTGGGAGAGGTGATGAGAAAAGCATTACACAAAGACATTGTCAGGTCCGCGGAGACACACACTTGGTAAAGTGCTTGCCATGCAAGCGTGAGGGACTGTATGCGGTCCCCAGCCCTTGTGAAAGCATGTGTGCTTTTAGTTCTAGCTCTGGGGAGGCAGAGATAGGAAGGTCCCTGGGGCTCACTGGAGGCCAGTCAGCCTAGCCTAATTGGCAAGCCCCAGGTCCCAGTGAAAGACTGACTCAAAAACCTAGGTGTGTGGCTCTTTAGGAAGGACAACCAACATTGCCTCCAGCCTCCATATACATGTATACATACAAACCCTCATACCTACATGCACATACACACACCTGCACATACGCACACACATAAGAAAAGCAGTTATGTACTGTTATCAACAATGAAAAACAGAAAATGAAGAATTCAACACAGAGTTCAGTGAAAAATTTCAGTGATTCTTAAATCTTAAAGTTTTTAATTGTGCAAAAGTAGTCAATTGGGCGAGTTGTTATGACGTAGTGTGCTCTATTCTTCTCCTTCTTGTGTTGCTGAGCAGGTGCGGACATTCTACACGCAGGTGTTGAATGAAGAGCAGAGGAGGCGCTTATGTGAGAACATTGCAGGTCATCTGAAAGACGCCCAGCTTTTCATCCAGAAGAAAGCGGTGAGTCCATCTTGGAGAGTTGAAGGGTGCCACCTGCTGGTTCGGAGAGCTAGTGCAGCGGTGAGGGAGAACCCTTACAAGGAAAAGGTCATTTGTAGTTTACTTCAGCTAGGAGGACTTTTTAAACAGTGCAGTAACCCCCAGTGAACTTTTGATTATTTTCTATCTCTGTGTCTGTCTTCTGTGATACTTTTGCTTACCCAGAGCCATTTTTTCCCAGTGTGTAACAATTTAGCCAGTTCAAGGTGAATTCTCTCCTAGGCTATAGTCAAGTTGTTTGCTGGGTAGTAAGTGTGTGCTAGTAAGATGTGGCTCTGCCATAGTTTTGCTTAAGCTTTTTAGATAATAAGAAGTGGCCGGGTGTGGTGGTGCAGGCCTTTAGTCCTAGCACTTGGGAGGCAGAGGCAGGTGGATCTCTGTGAGTTAGAGGTCAGCCTGGTCTACATGGTGAGTTCCAGGCCAGCTGGGGCTACAGGGAGACCCTGTCTCAAAAAAGACCAAAAAAAAAAAAAAAAAAAGTGTAGTTTACAGTTTTGTGGTTTGAAAAGTCCACAAAGGCTCAATGTCATGACCCGGTGATCGGCCTCAGACCCAGACTAGAAGCTTGCTTCTGGGGCGAGAAGCTGAGTTGTTCCCCAAAGACAGGCTGAAATTTTATTTTATTTTTTAAAAAATCTATGGGACTAGAGATATGGCTCCATGGTCAAGAAGCAGCAGAGAGTCTGGTGATTGCTCTGGGAGATAGGCAGGGTGAGTTTTAGCTCATTATTGATGAGAGTATGCAAGGCAGGTTGTAAGTAGCAAAACGGGCTGACTTCCTCGGCATCTCCTCTTGCGTACACTGAAACTGTGAGGCTTTCTGTTGGCTCTTGATGCCCCATCTCCTCCCACTGTTTGCCAGGGTTCAGCCTGTAGTTGGAAATTCCTACCTGGAGTACATGGAGCTGCCTGGCAGATGCCAGTATTATGTCATTTTATATTGAGGCAGTGCCCAGTCTGTGAGTTCATACAAGGACTCTGACTTGCTAAGTACTCACTGTGAGTGAGATCAGCTCTTGACACGCAACCCATGGAGCTCATTTATGTGCATCTTTCTCATCATATTCTATGATGCATATTCTATGCGGTTCTTGTACTCTCTGATGGTACCTGGGTATTCTAAGTTCAAGTTGGTTCTGACAGAGATCTTGGAATTAATCAGCCCTATATGACCCCTTTTATTTTTATTTAAAAATTTTTTTTTGTTATTTTTTATTTTATGTATATGAATCTTTTGCTTGCTTGTAGGAGGTATATCTATGTCGTGTAGTGACCACAGAGTTCTGAAGAGGGTGTCAACTCCCTTGGAACTGGAGTTATGGATAGTTGTTAGCTGCCATGTGCATGCCTGGACTTGAAACCAGGTCTCCTGCAAGAGCAGTCAGTGTTCTTAGCTGCTGAGCCATCTCTTCAGCCCCCCTTTAATTTTTAGATGGCAAGTAAGATGCCCAGATCTGCTAGAAGTTCTGACTGCATATTCAGAGTTCCCAGAATCCTCTCTCAAGTTTGATAATTTGCTAGGGTGACTTACAGAACTCAGGAAAATATTGTGTATGTATGAGTTAGTTTTCTGTTGCTGTGATAAAATACCATGACCAAGGCAACTAATAGAAGGAAGAGTTTAGGGGCTGGAGAGATAGCTCAGCAATTAAGAACACCAGCTGCTCTTGCAGAGGACCCAGTTTCAATTCCCAGCACCCACATGGCAGCTAACAACCGACCATAACTCTAGTTCCAGGCATTGCTTGACACGGGTGCACTTACACACATGCAGGCAATATGCTTATACACATAAAAATAAATAAATAAAATTTTTTTTTAAACGAAGGAAGAGTTCCAGAGGAGAGTCCTTAATGGTGGGGAAGCATGCCAGCAAGAGGTGGCCAGAGCAGAAAACTAAGCACCCACATCTTCAAGCAGGCACAGGAAGCAGAAAGAGAGAAACTGGAAATTCAGCAAGGCTTAAGAACTCCCAAAGTCTGTCCCTAGTGTTCCACCAGCATGACCCACCTCTTGAAGATTCCATGACCTTCCCCAAACAGTTCCAGGAACTGGAGCCCAAGCGTCCAAATACTTGGAGCCTGTGGGGACACTCATTCAGACCACCACACTTAGGATCACCTGTTCATCATAAAGAATTCAGCTCAGCAGTCACCAAATGGAAGAGATGCATAAACTAGGTGTGTGGGAAGGGCTTGCAGTTTCCATGTCTCACTGGGCCACCTTCCGGGCACCTTGATGCATTTACCCACCCAGAAGCTCCCTAAGCACTGTCATGTAGGGGCTTTCATGGAGGTCTCCTTATATAGGCATGCCTGGTGGGGTTATCAGCTATGAAGTGATTGGATTCTGCAGGCCCTTCCCTTCCCTGGAAGTTCAGGAGTAGGGTTGGAATGCCCAACCTTCAAATCCTCTGCTTGCTATGTCTGGTACCAGCTCCATCTCGGAGCTCCCCAGTCGTGTGAGCCATCTCAGTAGCACACAGGAGACAGTAAATTCCAAAGGCTTCAGGATTAGTGTTCTAGGACCATAGGAGGAAGAAAAAATATTTGTGTTTTATGGTACTACATGGGAGTAATTATCTTGCTCATTTAGAGAGGGGAACGCTGAAGCTCAGATAGTTGAAGTGGCTTTCTAAGGTAGCCCAGCCAACATATGGAAGAATTTTCACTGGACCCCCAAGTCTCCCTCCAAGATACACGTCATTAAATGCCACAGGGCACTACTTCCCATTGAAATGTATTCCTACTCAAATGAGTGAGCAGGGTGGGACAGAGGCTCTGGAGAGTGATGCTGAGGGTGAGGAGATGTTTACATTTTTCTTTCTTTGGTTCTAGGTCAAGAACTTCAGTGACGTCCATCCTGACTATGGGGCCCGCATCCAGGCTCTTCTGGACAAATACAACACCGAGCCTAAGGTGAGCCCAGTGCCATGTGACTGTGGCATTGTGTGGTGGGCTGGATCAGACAGTTTAGATTCCATTGGCATTATTGTCTCTAGAGACAAGTACCTCAACCAAGCAGCTGTTATTTGAGAAATAAAAAACTCAACTCACCTGCAGTATACAAACTCTCCACTTTAGCTCCGGATAATGTGAAACTGTTTACAGTAAATGAAATCTGAATTACTATTTCATTTGGGTACAAGTTAAAGTGAAGATAAATATCCCTGGGTACTGCTGCCTATGAGTTAGTTAATCTGCTGGTCTTGTTCTTTTGAAACAGAACGCGATTCACACATACATGCAGGCGGGGTCTCACCTGGCTGCAAAGGAGAAGGCTAACCTGTGAGGCCTGGAGCCTGGTCCTCCAGAGAGGAGAGGTCTTCTCATGAAGCAGAGCCCAAGGTTCCTCTGTATTCACACCGCTGAATGGAAGATTCTCCAAACGCAAGCTAATGTCTTTACAACGATAATGCAGATTTCTAGAGTGACTAACGTAGCAATGCTTTTAATGTTGTTTCCTAAGGTGGGAAATAAAGGTTAGGGCTTAGCAATCATTTAACAGAAACACAGATCCACATGTGACACTTGGTTGGACTGTTTGTTTAAAATAACTTGAAGGAAGGTTTCTAGCCAGGAACATGATTTTATTGGATAAGAACAAACTTTTGGTGAGATTAGTATGTTCCTGTGTTACCTTGTGGCCTGTTATATAATAAGAACATGGCTATAATTCTATAGGAAGAGAAGTTAAAGATGGCCAACTCAGAAATTTTTATTTTTCTAATGTTCTTATAAGAAAAACCATATACCAGTATCTTCCAAAAATAACTTTAGCTCCTTGAAGCTTCGTGTTTATTCCTGTGTAATTGATCAGATCCTCTTTTTTTTCACATGAAATTATGTTTATGCTTATACACAGTAATTTCACAACAGGTTGCTTTGTACTTGCTTACATTTTTACAATAAAATGATCTACATGTAGGAGTGGAGAGATGGGATTTGATTTCTTTCAACTGCCTGTATAGTGTGGGATGTGCAAATAGATTTAACATCATCTGCCTTAAAAATGAAAGTACCAGCAACAGAACACTGCTGTTTGTTTAAACCAGTAATCATTGAATAACCTTCTGGAACACCGAGAAAATTGCCAGTATCCTGACTTTGAAGTCTTGGTTCTCTTATTCATCAGCTCACTTATCAGAAGTTTTAAAAATAAGGCCTCAGGGGGCTGGAGAGATGGCTCAGCAGTTAAGAGCACTGGTTGTTCTTGCAGAAGACCTAGGTTCGAATCCCAGCACCTACATGGTGGCTAACAACTGTCCATAACTCCAGTTCCAGGGGACCTGATGCTCTCTTCTGTCCTCTGCAGGCAGGACACGACATGGGTGCACTTACACACACGCAGGCATAATACTCAAGCACATAAAATCTTAAAAAAAAAT